GAAATGAAGAATCTACATATGCTAAAACATTATCACTTAGTCCACTACATAGATACCAAATACATCACTAGCTTTGGTTTGATGACTATTACAAGATCCAAACTTCCTACAAGCTATTAAATGAACTACTCCTAGCAAGAATTTCCAAACACACCAGCTGCCATGGAGCCTGAGCAAAGTGTCGTTGTTTGCCGGTGTTATCAACACTATCTTTCTCACTGGAGCAATCAACGTAGAGTTCGCAATAACCACATAGAATCAACCATGACTTCGGCAAGAACCAAGGGTGTTTATCGGAAAGGAATCAAAATACGTCCGACGATGTTGCAACGGCATAAGAGTCAGAACAGAAGTTGTTAGCAGATGTCGTTTTCATTAATTAAGCAACATGCCTACCACGTGAAAGCAGGACCATTGGCCTTTCTTCATGGCAGTTTTGTGGATCACAGCAACATGTACAAGCGTTTTAGCAAGGAATCCAAACCTCCAAGTTCACTCCATTTTGCAGCAGTACTGTGATGATGACTGGACTCACCAAAGAATACATGGACCTTGAATTGAACCTGCGGCAAAAAAGAGAGCGGTTGATTTAGAACTTTTCGAACCAAGTCAGAATATGGCAAAGTAATTCCCCTGCAGAACATTGAAAATATCAAGTGTTACGATGTGTGATACAGTTTAAAACGGTCTCGCTTCAGTTTTAGACTATGTGGTCAAGGTTCAAACAATTTCTTTACCTCATAACCTCCAAGGAAAGGTTCAAGAGATTCAACCATAAAGACATGAATTCTAAGAAGTTAGAAGCAGCTGCGGAACTATAGCAACTTGAACGCAGAGATAGCAGCTTCTGACTCTCACATGACACAACCATCCTCTTCAACATAATATCTTCCAAACCGGCTTCATTCTTAGCAAAGGCTTAAATCCTTGAAAAAACAAATCTGCCCTAACGGCAAGGAACCAAACCAGAGTTAGCAAGATGAAGTTTCCACTTTAAAGACAAACTTATGAAATTAGAAACTCTTCTTACCTCAATTCCCTTCAAGGTATTCATCCCTCTGATTTAAGGCTCAATTTGCACCCTTAACGCCAAGTTGGTTACTCCTTTCGCAAAGGTAAGAGGTTGTGATCATCAAAGCAAAACCTTTCCCCTGTCACAACTGGGTTTCGTCACCTGCAAGGCAAAAATAAACAATGAGAGGACGTTGTTAGATTTGAAGCGGTAATCAATCTCATGCCTCCAAAGTTTAAACTTCCCCTGAGGTGTCTGTGGATTTCTCCATGAGAAGTAAGGTTGTGGCTTCACTCCTACAGGAGCATCAATAAAACAGAATGGGCAAGAAACTTTAGCATGAATCAACAATCCAGTTCATTGCAAGCCAACACGGTTCAGACTGCTATAGTAATCATCACCATTTACAACCTTTCTCAGTACATGGACTAACACCGGCATCCTCTGAAACCGCTAGCGGCATCCTGAAAGAAGAAGAGAAATGTCAGTGCAGTAAGTGTTTCCATATCAGTCACAAACATCATTTGCAAGCAACCGCAACAACAACGCCATCAGCATATCAGCATCACATCAGCATCCGCAAACAAGTATCACGTCTGCAATTGCAAGCAGACATCCATAACATCAGAACAAACGTCAATAATGTCGGCTGCGAGCAACACCAACAATGTCAGCGCACCATCTACGACAACAACAACACAAAGATTAAACTTTACAAAGATAATTTGGAGACTAGGGTTGAATCCAAGAAGGGGTCATATTCTCAGCCCTCAGTTCGATCCATCATTGGGCAAAAGCTCGAACAGCCGGGAGGGCAACTGCCAAAGATATCACCAACACCCTGCCAACTCGAAAGCTTCAACAGACATTCGGGAGCAACAACGGCTGTAAGTTTCTTAGCTCAGACGTGGTGTCATCATTGTCGTTTTAAACCTTCCCCGGCTAGTACGAGGCCAGGCGAGTATCTGAACTCAAGATGTAGCTTTCCCTGCAAAAAGAAGAGAAAACACGTCCGCTGCAAACAACAACAATTTTCTCCCACATCAAGTAACACGAGCATTCCAACAATAGCAGGCAAATGTTGCATCAGCTGCAAGCTAACATTCGCAAACGGAAGAGTTCAACAAAAGCAAGGCAACTGAGCTCAAGTAGCAACAATGGTACTGCATCAATATTTCTCCCTACATCAACAGCAACACCATCAAAACATCACCAAGTTGAACCTCGACTTCACGTTCCAACTTCAGAATCCATATGGAACCAGAAATGCCCTTGATGCTAGAATCTCAAAGCGGAAGGAAGAAGGTTCAAACTCTCAGAAGGATGAAGCTCATCATCGGGCGTAGAACTCGAGCTGCCGGCAGAGTGACGGAAACCGTCACCACCTCCTACCTAACTCAGAGTTCACTCAAACAACAGAAGAAGTAAACAACGGCAACCATAGTTCCCGACAAGCTCAAGATAAGGCAGCTTATGAACTTAAGCGTAGTATTAGCCTACGAGAATAAGAGAAAAATAAGCATTAATTCAAAGTCAACGAAGTCAACAGACACGTCAATTTGACAAATCAACACAAAGAAGGAAATTCAAAACTTCCCTAATCAAAGCCAACACTCTCCTTGACAAGATCAGACGAAAAAAGAAGGAAGTTAATTGTTGGTCTCCTCAAATCGTCCAGCAGTCCGACAAAAATCAACCGATTAGGAAAGCTTTGAAGACAATCATCATTGGAGGCCCATGGGTCTCACTTATAAAAAGAAGCAACACTCAGCAATTGGGAGATCGAAAAAAAAAAACCCTGAGCGAAGGAGACGAAGCACCTGCGCTCAGATATTGATCGAGAAAGCCCGTCATCGCCGCGAAGCTCAGACTACCTACAAAGACTCATCATCTCCGGTCAAGGGAAAGTACAAGATCGTGGATTGCATCACCATTTCCTCGCCATTGCAAACGCGTCGCCGACTCCTGTTTGTGGGTAAAAAAAACATTTCACTCCTAAATTGCTTTGCATGTTCGTTCTTTTGTTTGATTGCAGGTCATCATGAAGCAAGACGAAGACGGAGAGATTGAAGGAGAAAACGAGACGAAGATGGAGGTGGCAGAAGCATCGACGGAAAAGGGGGTCGAATTTAGGATTTAGGGTTTCTATTTTATCTTTTTAATTTTGATGTTGTAATATAATCTGATGCCTGCACCCACACACACATACGATGCACCCTCACGGTCATCACCGTCAACTCGCCACTTGATCGCATCACACGACCCATATCGCATGTCCACGATAGACCTCTCCCTGCGTATCACCTCACCACACGTTTTTTAATCCACCTGTTAACCTTTAATTAACATAATTAACCCTTTAAACTACTTTAATTAAGATAATCATTTCATAATATAATTCAATTAATTAGCTGTTTTTTCTAATCAACTTTATTAATTTAATTTGTAATCAGCTTTTTAATTTAAAATAACTAATTAATCCTTTTTTAATTAATCTATTTATCTAATCAATTTTCTTTTTATTTAACTTATTAATTTATTATAATAACTCAGTTGTATTTTAATCATCCTATCGACTAATTCATTTCATCAATTTAATACCCTTTTTCTATAATAAATTTATTCATATTCTTAATAAATAAATAAAACACTACTTCATATAATTTAAATAACTTTTATCTATTTATAATAACAAAAACTATTTTTATTTAATAAGAAAACCTTTTTAATAAATCATCACTTAAAAATATTCCTATCAATTTAATTAACCATCAAACCTTTTTTTATAAAAACCCCTTTAAAATAATTTCTCTTAAAATTAATCTTCTTAAAAATCAATTCAACTTTTTTAAAATAATCTCTCAAAATCAATCACTTCCTAAAATCAATTAACTCGCCTAAAATTCAATCAATCGTGCACGTTTCCGTCTCCTAACACCGATTCGATTCGCACATTCACTTTCACATACTTTGTACGTCTTAGCGCTTTCATGCGTTTGTGTATGCCTTTATTTTCCGCAATTTATCTTTATCTGCAATTTATCTTTACCATCCTTTATATTATCGCATTGCATAATGTACAAAGGAAGAACTTGCGCGTAACGTAAAAACTTGCGTGTATGCATATCATTTGCATCATATTCCCCATGGATCCTTGATCCCATTCAAGTTGATCTCTTAAGTTAGATCCTACCCCATAAGGAGGACCTTTTATCTTTACAACTTAGACAAACACATTCAACAACTCAATATCAAACTTATTCAAACGCATTAGAGGATAAGATGTTAATCATCTTAAGTGAGATAAAACTTCTACCCCATAACGATTCAATCAATATGTAGGGACTTTGCCTTAGGAGAGATATAGGCGTACTTGTTGACAATCTGAGTACTTGAGCCCTTCTCTTAAGACGATGCAAAGACTATTTTCCTACAAAGTCGTGGTGGTTAAATCAAGTAATCTCCCTTAAAATGACAACTCATCTTTTTTCCTAAAATCAATCAATCAACTACCCTTATCCCGTAGGAACTTTGACCACAGTCAAAGAACTCCTTAAACCCTTTAGGGGAACTACATATACTCTGATTCCATTCCCGTCATGATATGTAGGCACAAGATGCGATATCTTGTCGAGTATACTTAGAAATAAACCCCCTAGGTCTTTCATCCCTTAAGCAGATAACCCTTAATAACAAACAACATAAAACAAGAGGTTCCTGTAGAGTACTACAAAAACTTAGGATGCTAGCACCTTCCCTAAGTTTAACCAACCCCCGAACCTATAACTCTCTAACTTTTGCATTTGCATTGCATTGTGGGTAATTCGATCTTTTTCCCTTCCTTTGGACAAATTAAAGATCGGTTGCAAATGAATTAAGATTCAAGCTCATCAATAGCTTGGTATCAAATTTCACCGCGACACTTACGAAGGAGAGGGATGAATTGGCAGTAATATTGAAGAAGTTAGAGACATTCAAAAAACAACTGATGTGCTCACTAGCTGATGACCATCCACCGCAAGCTGAAACCATAGATATTAGAACCTGTAACCAAACAGTTCCAAAAACGTATCATGATAAGGTTAATGATGGAAATGACTATACGACACATCATTCACACAGTGGATCTAAAAATATGGGTAGAACAATTGAGGAAGCTTCCAGGTATTCAGGGAAAAAGTTTTCGTTGACCCCGTACATCACACCGCGGGAGCATACTCTGATGAAACTCCTTGCCTGTGTCAATAACCATTGTGGAAACATTGACGAAAGCAACAAGACGCAGACAACACTACTCAAGTTCACCAATGATATTACCATGATAATGCAACAACAATGGTATTATGGTTGAAGTTTTCGTAGAAATAACGCAGCTCTGCCACACAAATAACAACAAATCGAATCGACATCATCGACTTTGACTCTGCCGCAATCCCGGAAATTCTGAACACATAACACCTCAACATCTATAACTCGACGGCTAAGTTTCGAACACCACAAGCATTCTTTAGCTGAAGGATTCTCTTCTTCTCTAACTCACAGTCGCACCACAGATCCACCATGAAAACATCTAAGCTTCAACTCTCACCACTGGTCCACCACTATCAAAAAACCCTCCTACTGATTTAATCGACTTAATGAAACTCAGTCCAGATGGAGCATAGAGACAGTAGCAGTTAAAGAACTAAAAAAACCATAGAGCAAGATCCACTAAATTACAGGTTAAAGGAAAGGTTATCCAAGTTTATCATGACAGTAAGGTTAAAGGAAAGGTTATTTTGGCGCATTGATTAGCGATTTATTTCTGAAATCCTTTTTGTTTTACTGTCCTCAAAGAATTTTGTCTACTATATACAATTTATTTCCTTTATTTGTTAATTGTTTTATTTCAATTCATTGTTACAAATTACAACAATACGTAGCTCTTGATTCGGTACGTTGACTTTGACATTTATTATTTATTTATAGATAGTATCCTTGGTGTAATATCTCTCAACAAAGACATAAATCTTAGGTTGTAGATAGATAGTATCCTTGGTGTAATATCTTTTCAACAAAGACATAAATCTTAGTGTAATATCTTCTCAACAAAGGCATAAATCTTTGGCTGCAGCGTGAGGATGTTATCCTTCTAAAGCATCCTCCTGTTTTCTCTTTTCTTTGTAATATACCCTCATTTTTTCTTCACAATCCACTCCTCTTCCATTTTATTATAATACTCTTTTCGCATACTTCTAGCTGTGTTTTTATGCATATCTTTGATCCAAAACAAAAGCATGCTAGACTACTAAAAAAAAGTTCCCCTGATGCCATGTTTTCTTGTGAGCGACTTTGTTTAGAATTCTTGAATTCCTAATTGAATATTCTATTTTTATTGAGTATTTGGCGAGTTCCGATTTGGATCCTGGTAGATCCTTTGGTTAAATTCTTGTAGAATTTCTAGTTGATTTTTTCCTTGTTCCATTAGAGCTTTGGTGGTTAACTCTGGTTGTTTTTCTTGACAATTATATAGTTCTTCTGATGAAAAGAGTGCTTTGATCCTCGAGATATTTGTGCTTGCTTGGTCTTCAAAATCGCGTATGAATTCTCGTGGACTGATGCTCCTAAACTTTCCTTGTGCATAAGTTGCTTGAATGTAGGAAATGATGCTGATGAGTACACTTTTGCCTTGAAGATAGGAGCTGGTGCTTGCTATAATTTACGATGATGTTGTGCTGAAGTGCAGTCATTGCTACTGTTTTGCTTGTTATTGTTCGAGGAGTCTTGACTCCTAGTTGTACGTTCAGCTTGCATGCCAGTTCAATTTATGCTTTAGTTTCGTTTTTACCATTTTATCATGCTTTGTTGAAAACGAAGAGTCACTCAGTTTTACTCCATAGCTGAGATCACGACATCGTTCTTTCAATTGAAAACAAAGAGTCACTCAGTTTTGCTCCATAGCTGAGATCACGACATTGTTCTGTTATTTGTTTAATGTAATGTTCGATTGTATGTGTTCACTTGACATTTCAGAATTCTTAGCTCGATGTAATTCGTGATTAAGCTCGAGGTAGGGGAATCGTCAGGTTTGCAATCCTTTACATGGAAATTTTTAGGAGTTGTTTTTCCCTAATTATTTTCCTTCCCACTTTTGCATTCTTTTGCACGCAAATCCAAACCTCGATTCACATCGAGTACTTTCTTCAAACCAAATCAAATGAATACATGTGTTTATACTTAAATACAATTTCAATAAAGATGAAAAGGGAGTTGGAATCAAGTCTTTGATTTCTCTTCTTGGTTGTTTGGGCCCGAGGAGCCTTTCTTAAGTCCAAACAATTGTCTTCTTTAAAATATGTACAATACGACAAACTCAAAATCTATTTTCTCAATACTTAGATGAAAAAGAGAGAGAGCCAAGTCTTTGGCTCACTCTCCCGATTACTTGGGCCCGAAGAGTCTTTCTTAAGCCTCGAGTAATCATCATCCGATTTAACATTTGCTAATTATATCAAACTATTTCATAATATAAAATGAAAAAGAGAGAGAGTCAAGTCTTTGAATCGCTCTCCCGATTACTTGGGCCCGAGGAGTCTTTCTTAAGCCTCAAGTAGTCGTCATTCATAAACTACTTCAACTATCTTCTATCTTTCATTGCTTTTCCGACGCAATCTCTTTTCGAGATGAAAAAGATAGAGAGTCAAGTCTTTGACTCACTCTTCCGATTACTTGGGCCCGAGGAGCCTTTCTTAAGCCTCGAGTAATCGTCATCCGATTAACTTACTCGAACGATATCCTATTACTTTACAATTCGAGATGAAAAATAGAGAGAGTCAATTCTTTGACTCACTCTTCCGATTACTTGGGCCCGATGAGCCTTTCTTAAGCTTCATGTAATCGTCACCTCTAAGCATCTGATACATCAAATCTCATTTTCTCGCCCCCGTGCGACCAAAACCCTAAAAACTATTCAAATCTATCCTCTTTTCCAAATGAAAATACTTAATAAAACGAACTCTCGTTTTCTCGCCACTGTGCAATTGAAACTTCTCCAAATACCAATTCCTCTCCCTCGTGTGATCCACAACTTAAACAACTTTCCAAAAGAACATTGTTTAGTCCCTTCTTCCGTGCATATGAACTAGTGCTTTAGCCTCCCCTAGTGAGCAGACAAGCCAATGTTTAGCAGTTAGAATGCGACATAAACTCTCGGTCGATTCAAATACACATTTTACCAAGGACATTGTTTAGTCTCTTCTTTCGCGCATACGAACTCGTGCTTCAGCCTCCCCTAGTGATAACGCGAAAACGTATATATCAAATGCCATGATTTTATGCTACTAATGGTCGATTTCACCCCGATTTTGGACTTCTCCGCATTGTTTGTTAAGTATTTTTGCAGGTATACGAAGTTAAAACTCAAATGAAGCAAGATAAAGAAAATAAATGCTAGAAGACACAAAACTGAAGAAAAAGGACGAAAAAAAGAGCAGAAATGGATTTTGCTGATATGACGGTCGTCACAGGTCCCTCACGACTGTCACGTGTGTGACGACCTTCACGAGCGTCACGAACGTCATGTGCATATATCCCTTACGACCGTCACACTTGCAAAAACAGCTTAACGTCCACTTTTGAGAACATGTCAGCAGAAGTCCAAAAACAGAATCACGACTCCCTGATTCCTCTCACCCTCAACTGCACTTTCTGAGGCAGTTCACGTAGGAAACATTCACTATAAAAGGAGAGCTTGAGGAATTGAATAGGGGAGTCGCATTGAAGACCACGAAGTGCTGCCCAATTTACTACAAAAAGCCATTCTTTGTTTCTGCTTTGTTTTTCCTTTACTTTTCCTGTCAGATTCCGATTGTATTATTTCCTTTAAACTTTCCGTACGTTAATCGTCACCGAAGTAATCCTGCCAACATTGTGGGGGATTATCCAAGTGCCGAACCAGAATTGTTTACAGGTTCATTATTATTATTAATTAAGTTTCCATTTGCTTTATAATGTATGTTTACATATTCTGTTGTTTTAATTCAATTATGTTTGCTTTAAGATTCATGTTTAGCTAAACCATATCGATCGGTATGTAATGAATTAGTAGGATGAGATTCGATAACATTCGGCGTTTTCCACTTTTTCAAACTTGTTTCTGGCCATAGTTTTTATCTAAAATTATTAAACTGAACCTCGTTGCGATAGCGAGAATTTGTTTAAAGTAATCTCGCCACGACAGTGGGAGATTCATTAAGGTATGAACCGACATGCGAAAGCTGAGGCTAGGACCAGATAGTAAAAATTAGGCATCTATTTTAAATACAGCGAAAGTGCTTTAAAAGAGATTAGAACTCAATGGTTTTCAAAAAGTAATTTTTAACCCCGAACGGGATAGCGAAAGCATACGTTCCGCCTTAGAGTTGCGACTAGCGTCAACAACCAACGTGAGACAAAGGTTTTTAAACTGTTATTTTCTTCTGAAAACTATTTTGAAATCATTAAACTACGCCGGTAACTTGTCGAATCCTCGAAGAACTAAGGCATTGCATATCGATTCCCCGTATTAATATTCTAAGAAACCTTTTAGCCTTTCTTTACTTTAGCCTTTACTTTTGCATCTTTTCCCTTAAACCATATCCAACCTAGCTAAACATAGTAACGCCCGAGAACACTAGTTTGATTACGAGTCCCTGTGTGATCTGTCGCTACTGCGAAAATCGGCGCCGGCTATGACAGAAGAGTCGCCACCGTGCGTTATTTATCCCAAAGGAGGGAAAGGAAACGCTCATAGTAAACCTAACGCAAAGAGGGAAAGGAATGGTCATCGCAACCCAATCCTGGATTTGGGAGTCGGTTACGCAAGGGGAAGGTATTAGCACCCCTCACATCCGTCGTACTCGACGGGATCCACGCTTGTTTTCTAGTACGGATTGTTATTCTATCTATTCTAAAGGTCTGAGGTTAAAAGAAAATAAAATGACTCGGCAAAGTATCGCACTTTATGCCTACGTATTCCCGTCTGGAGCGAGAAATCAGAGTCCACGTAGTTCGCCTAACTACAGGTTAAGGGGGGAAGGTTGCTCGCTAGGATACGACATCCTATGCCTACGTATTTTAATACAGCATGAAAGATCAGAGCAAACGTAGTTCGGGCTACGGAAGACACAGATTTGTCTGACTGTTTTTTAGCTCCTTCTGAAAGGGTTTTTCTTGATTAAGAGTCCAAGAGGACAAAAATGACGTTTGAAGTTTGTTTTCAGTCTTTTACGCAAGAACTGTTTTTTATGATGTTTGAAGTGTTAGTGTGTTTTTGATTATTTCAAGATGAGAAGAGAGAGAAGCTCTAAAAACCTAGGGTTGAAAGGGGAATAA